GTACCGCGTTCTAACGCACCTTACCTCCTTGGTCGCTGCGCACCCACCTTGTCTCCCTCCTTATCCGAAGTGTTGTCAAAGACTCCTTGGTGGCTGTGCACCCACCTTGTCTCCTTCCTTATCCGAAGTGTTGTCAAAGCCGTTTCCTATACCTCCCCGACTCGGTTATGCTTTGCTTTCCCCTTGGCGTCTTTTCACTCTTCAGTTCACACTTGACGGTAACAACAGGCAGACAGTTATTGTGATTCTACACAGGCTTAGCCTACTGATTTCTCACGTTCTCCCTTCGCAGCCGATCACTCGTTGATGTTTTTATACTTGCCGCTCTTCCACCTTCTCATTTCTAACAGTGGTGCCAGGTACAACACCCTGCGTCTTTGAGGTGCTTTTCGGGTCTTTTTCTCCATCCGTCTAACTCAGGCGAGTGAATTATCTCAACTGCGTTGTGGTGGCGGGAAAACGTATGTTGGGCCGACTGGGCGCGGCCTCCGCACGTGCTCCCGTCCCTGATGCTCCGTCATCTCTCGTGATGGCAAAGATGATTTGCTACACTTCGTCTCCAGTCCGTGTGGCTGACTTGGACGGCGAAAGCGTCTGTTTACAATGGAGAAGAAGCACAAAAGAAGCGATAAAACACTTTGCGCCGCGGATATTTGAAAGCTCAGCAACGCATTCCCGACGGCAGGTCCTACATCAACTTTGAGCAGCTCGCTCCCCACACTGAGAATCCTATTTAGAAAGTGATACAAGAACCAGAAGGACCCGCAAGCCAGCCCGCTCAAGATCAGTGCCGCGAAGAATAGCAGAATCCAATATCTGGAAGGAAAATGGAGCATGATGCCAAGACCAATAACCGCGCATGTAGAACAAACCGCCAAGCTAATTAGAAGGTCCACCACAGAGCCCAGGTTGAAAGTGGCCGCCGCTTTCAATTTATCAATTATGCCCCTGATCGTTTTGTTCACATCTGACGGTAGAACAGCGTCTGGGATGTTTTCTACGTCGACATCAGGCGGCCACAGCTGTTTCGGTTCGCCACCAAGATGCACAGATACCTTGCGTGTTCCGACATTCAGTTCAAAGTCCCTGGCGATGCTGCTTATTTTGGCGGGGACTTCAGTGGCAACGGACAAGGCTTTTGTGACTCCACTGCCGATGTCCCCCATCGGATTTGGAAGGCCTCGGCGTGAACTAGTCAGTGTTGGCTGGTCAAACGTGCCGTGTCAGCTACCATGCATACTCGGCTGTCTCTATGTAGTTGGCAGTTCCTTGCGCACGCACCTTATACGAAAATATTCCGCGGTCACTGCTCTCTGGATCTGTCGTGCGCTTGGCCAATTTCCAGACCGCGATAGAGCCACCAAGGTGTGCAAGAGCAAAAGTCCAGAAGGAGATCTTCAAGAACGTGAAACCTTTCATTGAGAGTATAGATATAGGCATGTCTAGTGGCGCTCCAAGGCGTACAATATATATTGATACTGTCTACATGTCTTATAATTGCGTACATGCTTTCATGGTTTGCATATAGCCGTATCTTCTGAGCGCGAGGTAAACATAGAAGGTAGGAGCCTTTTTTTGCGGTTGATATTAATACGAGGATCTTTAGTTTACATAGGTAATATGCATGTATGTGTTAACCAAGAACTGGATGCCAATCGTCTCCTCCTGCTCAGGCATTAACATAGACTCTGTTCGGGCTGGAGGCCCACCGCCTAGTGCATAACCAGCCTTCAAACAGCGGCATCTTGCCAAACAAGGATTAAAAAGTACCCAGATCGCGAAACTTATTTTTTAGAAACACATGAAGAGTCTCGTCACCCACTCGAAAAGCGCCCTGCTGCAAAAGAGCTAGCTCTATCTCGTAAAGCGGTTCTTGCAGGTGCTTCAAACAACAAGAAGCTCGCCGCGCGGAACATCTTTCCAGGCAGAACAAAGCGTCTGGATGGCGGGGCTTTGACAACGAGGTGATGTCCCCGTCGCTGAATTGGGGTTTTGACAATGAGGTGATGTCCCCGTCGCTGAATGCCACCCAGGGATAATTTGCACGGACAATCAATTTGTAAACGCCTCTACGGCCCGTGCCGGACGGCGTCCACGCTCCCCAATATGTGAAGCGGTCATGACCGAGACAGGTGGTTATGGTCTCCTGTAGAGACCTCCCCGGATCGTACCGTCTCATGACCCATGTTGGGGCAGCTAAATGCCGGCAAAACTCCTGGTCCCTCGACTGGGAGCAGGCGTTGTCTAAACAGCAGTAGCAGTCGTCGAGGGATCCTGGTTCGGCGAGGCATGACGGCCGCCGTGGTCCGCTTTGACTGGGCTCAGAAAATAGTGCAAGTCCCATGGTCAGGATCTGAGGCCATAGAGCACCCAGAGAGCATAACCTACGAATGATTCTGCACCGCAACAATATATATACTGTCTAAATCGTAGCCATTTTGTATTTTGCCTGAAGACTGTTCTTGAAGGAGGTCATCATGGACGCTTGATGCCGTAATTTGGACCCTCACAAATACTCGCAATCCTGTACATGTCACCGTCATCTGCAACCTTGACATTGGTGTTTCGTAGTTGATTGAAATGGGCCCATATTTCAAACCATGCAGGTTCCATTACGATGACAACATGTTGCTCTATTCAAGGCCTACTGGAAAGGGCATCTGAGAAGATGGCCTGGATTGATGACGTGGGATTTCTAAGGGTATGCTTGGCCTTTCACAA